ATTTATGATAATTTCTAAACATAAAACTATAACAAATGTTATAATAAAACATAAATAAAACATTTTTATTATTGCTCTTTTCTCCTCAACTGAGACGTTTCTGATATCAACAGATATCAGAAACGTCAATATGACAAAACGCAACACGTAATACACATTTTTTCACGGCGTCTGGCCCATCGAGCAATAAGACAAAAGAGGGAATCTAATGCTTATGAAAAGGAGACCAAAAAAGTGGCCTCTGATGGCGGACATATCCGGAAATGCGAATGCGCCAAATTTAAATTTTCCGACACTTATCAACAGTAGCTATATAATATTTTTCAGAATGTGTCTTAGACGAGAAAGTTTTAATTAATTATTAATGATAAGAGTCTAAAATGCGACACAATTGTTAAAAAACTTCAATATAAATAAGATTTCATGCGACATTTGGGACAAACAATAACATAACCCAACTAAATTTGATGTCAAATAAGGAGAGAGACTCTCTTTCCTTGTTTAATGTGGCCTCTAAAGATCGCACTTCCTGTCTAACAATATGTTTGCCCCCACTACCTTTACATTCCCTCTATTGTCTTATTGCTCGATGGTCTGGCCTGACTTTTAGGGGTGGCCTGAAAAATGTATTATATTTTAGCAAAATTTTGGAATACGTTTAAATCGTAGAACAATTTCAACAGTTGTTTTGGATACATATTTGAGTCCTCTACAAATAGTTTCCCATTACTTTTGGTGTAAAATAATTAGGGAAGTAGGAATTCAACAAATTAGAATTTCCCATTGAGTTTCCTATGGCCCGTTTCACGATTCACCACCCTATAGGTACATTTTATACGTACCTACTTACGTGAAAAAATCCCAACAAATATTAACATTTATTAAAACTTTACGGCCGGCGGCTTAAACCTCAAGTGGATGCACATAATTAACAATTAAAAAACAACGTTCTAAATGTAAATAAGCTTCGACTTCTCTTCAGAATCTTGAAACTGATGTTTATGAATGTTTAAACTTCAATTTAGGCATATGACAACCCCAAAAATACAGTTTTCAAGCCTCGAAAATCCGTATTTTCACATTTACGTCAAAATTATACCTATTGATTCAATAAAATTAATTGATTTTTAAAATTTTAAAAGGTTTGAACCCCTATAACAAAAGGCTTTGGCCTTTTTAATGTGTTCTGTGTTATGGATTACATTTCCATAGGATATTTATGTGGAAATATGGCGAAACCATATATGTCAATTTTTGATAGTTTTCAGGAGAGTACTTTTAAGGTCGATTCAAACACATCAGTCACGTCTCGTCACAGTGATTGCGCCGAACCGAACAATCCGTCATACAAAATATTCTTTAATACAAATGGGTTGCCGGCATTCACACTCATCAGTTGACAAACAGTTTCCCAGCTGTCAGATAGTTGATAGCTCTGTGACCAAACAGGACCGGTTCGGCGCCGAGACTATGACGTGACTGATGTGTCTGAATTGACCTTTAAGGTTTCAAACTTAACACGTTGATGGACAGAGACGCTGTGCAGCGTCTTTTTTTAAAATTGTGTTGTGACAGAACGCTGTGAAGCGTCCTTAACAAAATTTAATATCGTGGCAGAACGCTGTACCGCGTTATATTTATAATATAAATATATGGTAACACGTAATCCACTGTCGTAGAATACCTATCTATACCTTCCAATCTGTTACCCATCTGGTAAATTATCGTAATATATTATGGTAATAATATCGACAAAAAGGACACTGTACAAATTGCGTATTTTTGAATAACTTAGGTGTCCGTCAAGGTGTTAATATTAATTCGTTGATAAAAGGTATTGTTTTGTTTTTTATGCAATAGTACAAAGAACTGAATGTACTTCTAATGTGTGAAACATGAAGGAAGATTATTTGCTAGTTTTTGGAATATATTAGATATTTTAGATATATGTGGTTTTGCCATCTTATGAATTAATTGTTTTATGCATATATTGTTTTGAAAGGGAAATAAAAACAAGACATTTCTCAACAAAACTCTTCTTGTCTAATATCAACCAATGTAAATTTGGATTTGTCCCTAAGCAATCGTACAAACTGAAACCAGTCCCGTGGTACCATTATTTTAAAATTATTTAAAATTTGCTTTTTACACCTTTCAATTCGTGCGTGGTTGCTATCACACTCAAGACGTGTATGATCTGGCAAAAGAAATTTCTGATAAATTATTTCGAGAGTTGATTTCTTCTGAATGGCATACAAAAACATAACCGCCATATTAATGTTACGGTTTTGTCCTCCGCACGTGTCCGAATTGTTACGTGCTAAACGGTCTCTGATAAACTCATTACTTTACTGTAGAGGCATGAGGCAATTTGATCAGAACCTCTGCCTCCAATGACTTCATATCACATAAAGCAAACAGACGATTCAGTGGAAGAACAATCACGTATAGTAAGATTATACACAGATAATAAACGCTTATAGTAGACTATGTTAGTTGATAAATAGGGAGCTGGTAGGACTCAATGTAAATCAAAAAGCAGTACTCTTTTCGTTTCATCATTTTTAACTATCTCTTTGTCTTTTCGTTTGCTTTCAAAGGCTTTATTAACTTCATTAATGTGGTCTTCCAGTTGTTTATTAATTGTTGCTCTAACTGTCTCAGTACTAGCATTCTTTTTTAGTGTTTGATATTCGTCATATTTGCGACATGTATCGATGTAGAGTTGTTTAAATTTATACCCCGTACTATTGAATACGTCACGAAAAACATCATAACTAGCAGATTTCTTTAACCCTTTTTTTAATATATCTTCTTGATATTCTTTGTGCATTTGACGGATGGTTAGGTGGCTCGGTAGAAATATTTGATTAGGATTATATCGCCTTGTATAATGGCTGATATTGATCTATAAATTTCTGAATTTCACTGCGTTCTTCGACCAACTTATTAGAGGGTACATGCTGTCCTCTTATACCTGTTTTTATAAATTCATCCTCTGACGATTTTAGTGTTTTAACGAACAGATTTAGCTGGTTTACTGTTACTCCATGCAGATTGATAAAAAAATTCTTGCACGCAGTTACAATTTTCTGAGGTTCTATATGCACTGAGGAACCAACAGTCACGACCCGATTATGTGGCTTTCCCCCTTTCATACCTTTGTCTTTCATTATTTGGTATTTGCATTTAGAAAGAGTCATTCTTTCACATAATACTTGTTTACCCGTATCTGGAGCTTTGTTATTAAAACTAGACCAGATTATAGTTTGTTGTTCAGGGATGCAATTTTCATGACAATTTTTTGTACAACATTTTGTTGTTGGTCTAAATACTACGACCACGCGACAACAAATGAAAACAATTTGGTAGATAACAAAATCAAATAAATCAACATGTTGCTTTGAAACTCATCGCTTATTCCACATATAAAGAGGAGGGCAAAACGAAATATGTTTGTATATATGTAATTGCCAACTTTAACAAATAATAATGTTTGGTTTATGAAAAGGAGTAAATATAATATATGCATTTATATTTAGTTTTGCCAACTTTCAATTAAAGGCATATAAACGTGAATAGTGGCGTTACTTTGTAATATATCTGCATATATCAATGTTATCATTTCATTAAATTTATTTGTTATCGCTTCTGTTGTGAATTTTAGTGTTGTGTTTAATAAATTAGAGATCGAAAGTAGTCTACCCATGTTTCCTTCTGAATGTGTTTCGTTTTTATGAGTTCGTTTATCGCTTTTCTTTGTCCTCTGTTCATTCTGCATTTTTTTATGTTCCGTAGAAGTCGTGTTCCATCTGTTGTGTTTGTTGTGTTCTGTATTGTAAAAATCTTTATTCTTTTCCTCACTTTTTGTTTTCACTTCCTCTTTAAACCACGGTGTTTTCTTTTTTGATATGTTAGTGTTCGTTACTTTCTTCTCTTCAAGTGAGTCTTTTGCTGCGTTAGTAATGATATTTTTGAGTTTTTCCCAGCTTTCCTCGATGTTATCGTTTTCTAATATCTCATTCCCAGTGATCTTCCCTGGTATTCTTTTTCTGTATAAGCATTCCGTCGATTCCGTATTTAGTCCTTCGACTTTGATTTTTGTTTGTGTTGGGCTCTTTTGGGTGGAAAGTATTTCAGGATTAATCTTATTTTACATAGTACTAGGCTGTGATCTCTACCTACATCTGCGTAGTTGAGGCATCTTACGTCGATTATTTTTGATTAATGTATATCTCTGTTGGTTGTAACATAATCTCATAATCTATCATAGAACTTTGTCCACGGGTGTTAAATGTGTATTTGTGTTCGTCTTCGTGGTCAAAAAATGTGTTGTTTATTCTTAGTTCGTTATTCGTGTAGTTGATCATCAGTTCTCCATTTTCGTTCTTAACATTCTCGTTATGTTTTTGTTTAATGCCGGGTATTACATCTTTCCTCTGACTTGATCTACTACTTGTTGTAATTGGTCGTAAAATGCTTCCCTTGTTGTTTGAGACTTATTATTTTCTGGGCCGTATACTCCGATGATGTTCAGGTCTTCCTTCTCCATTCTTATCTTTGCTGTTACTATTCTTTTTCTCGTTTTGGATGGTTTTCGCTTGTACTTATTTTGCCGTAGTCGTCTTCATAGTATCAATCCGGTTCCGAGGTTGTACATTGTTTGTTTGAGCAGTTTTTGTTTTTTACGATTGGTAGGTTGTTAACTTTGCCAATCACCCTCCACATTTTATTCGAGCTTGGGACCGGCTGTATTAACCGCAGAGCTACTTAATCAACCCTGCAAGACCACCAATCCACCCCGAGAGTACTTAGCTGATATTATTAAAAATTTTACACACTATCAAGTTTTAGAAAACATACACCTGTTGCCACTCTTTAGAAGTCTGTATAACTCATTTTACAATTTACTATATATTTATGATTGTATACTTAGTAAAACGTACAAAAAATTAAGGGTTTTTTAAAATATTAAGACAAGAATAATTATTAGTACTTACTCTTTAATGTCTTGGTATTCATATAAAGCTTTTATTAGACCACGTGAGGATCGAATCTTTCCAGAATACTTAAACAAAAGTGTGTGCTCTCCTGGTTGTATAGGACCATTATTATATTTGACTGTTATTCTTTGTTCTGTTTCTTTTACATAACAACCTTTTATTTGGTTAATATAAACATCAGTTATATTTAGTTCCTCACTATGTAATGTAATACCATTTAAATTTTCTTTAGTCACTACGTAAATAATGACTTCTCCATGAAATACATCATTATCTAAATCAGGTTTGATTACGAGTTCATAGTTTATTGGCACAGCTTCTGATGGATTAAGCCGATAGGTTAAACATTCTAAAAAAATAATTAATTGGATAAGGCAATTTTTAAAATTAATTTTAAAATAAATAACTTTTTTCAATGCATCTCGATAATATAGAACACACAGTTCGCAAAGCTCAACCAGAATTAACAAATGGATTCGCTGACCAGGGAGCGAGGGTAGGGGAGAGTATTGGTGCAAGCTGGTAATGTACCCTGGACCAACATATGTTGGTCCCTGGGTCAGTTATAAAAAATGCATATTAAGAAATGCATATTTTTGAGTTATTCTCAAAGAACTCTCTATAAATGTCGATTTTTCCGTTGAAAAACTGTTACTTTCAACCACGAATAACTAAAAAATATTAGTTTTACGAAGAAAATGTAACTAACATTTTTTCCTTAGAATTACTTTTTCAATCGATTTCCGTGGTTAAAATGTAATGAAAAATTCACAACCCCGAGATGGAGTGGCAACCATTTCAAATTTCAAGTAAATCCATGCTAGACAAAAAAATTGCAAGCCAAAATGCTTTATTTCCTGGCCTTTAAGTTGTTTAGATATTCTCCATCTATTTTTATTCTTTTTGTCCGCCAATCCAAATTTTTAAGACTATGTTGCAGCACAGTATTAAAAAGTTTAAAGAGACTTAAGAGCTAAAAGAACTTGGAGTTGGACTTAAATAATGTTTCATATAGTGTCCCAAAAAGTACAATCGGTTAGCAATAATATTTGGCTTTTCGCAAAGAACTCTTCTACAATTATGGAACTTGTATGAAAATCCACAATGTTCTAAAAGTGGCCACAAACTTGAAAGTGAAATTAGAAGCGTTGTATATTTGCTTATTGTTAGATCTACATTAAGCAATGGAATTTTAATGTGGTGCGCTTTTACTTTTATACATCATGTCATTAACACTTCTAAGTAGGTGTAATATTTTTATGTCCTATCTATCTCTATAAAAGGCTATTATGGCAGTGACAGGTCACACTGTATTTCAGGTCAACTAACGGCGCCATCTAGGAAAGAAATATGAACTACTATATTTCAATCATATTTTGTACTTGAAACGATATGTTTAGTCTATCTATATAAAAGGTTATGATGACAGTGACAGGTCACACTGTAATTCCGGCCAACTAGGAAAAAGGCGCCATCTAGAAAAGAAATATGAACTACCATATTTTCAATCATATTTTTTTCTTGAAACGATACGTTTAACTAATAATACTGTAGTAATAATATTTTCAAGGTATAATTTATTATAAAACAATATAAATGTTTACGTTATTTTAGGTTTAAAACCTTTATTCCTAACGCCATCTAGGAAATAAAATCTGAACTACTCAAATCTAAAATTTCATTCTTATTTTGTTCTTGAAATGATACGTTCAATTAAAAATACTAACAATATTCATTACATATATTAATACATATTACATAGATAATTATACGAATATTTATTATTTTTTCGCAAAATTGACAAAACTCTTGGTTGCTCTAATTTAAAGGTAAGCTTTATTTTGCAAAATAATTTATATGTTAGTTTATATTTATTTGGTTTATATGCAAGAAGGTACATGCTGGTTTTGTACGTAGATCAATTTCATAAAACGTCATTTAATTTTTTGAAAACTTTTGAAAACAAAACAAATCGAGAAATACCGGATCGACTTAGGTAATTTTGATTTTAAAATATTTGTATAAATCTGAAATTTCAATCATATTTTATAGATTATACCTCATACGTCACTGGTTTATAAATTTTTAAAGAAATATTTATTAAATATATTTATTTAATAAAGAAATAACATTGTTTATAAAAAATAAAGGCTTTAGAAAATTTATAAAATAATATATATTGCCTTTAAGTGATTTGGAGCGTGTATATCACTTCTACATATTTTGTAATGACATTGCTTCGTTGTATCAAATTAATATGCTAATTTAGGCACTTTTTTTTATTTATTTTAGTATTTTTTTTGTCAATAAATAGACTTTCTAACCTAACATGTTTGTTTACAAACAACTGCACGGAAAGAATAGCTAACACTATTTTGCGATAAACACTCGTGTTGATGATTTAAATAGTTTTTTAGGGTTTTGTGGTGGGTGTAGAATAGATCGTCGGATCGTGATGTATGATACATCACTGGAAAAGAGAAGAGCTATCGAATACCTTAAGACAGAAAACACACATAGCGGCAATGCCAAAAGGGTATGGTATCATATCTCCGTTGTTATTGGTCCGATTGGAGCGTGTGATGTGTTAAATGAAAGGTAAGGTAATATAGAATATATTTGCTGTTTATTGTCAAAAATAAAAATTTTAAGTTAGTATTTATGACATTGAGGCTTAATTGTAATTGTCACTAGTCGGACAATTTTCAATTAAAGGTGACTAATCTACAAATTGAACTAAACGGTAGCGGCAACAATGAAAAATTTCATTAGTAAATTCTTACCGGGGTCATTTTTATTGTGTATGCTTCGCCCATGTAAATACGTAAATTTGTAACCCATGTAAGATAAATTTGCGCCCGTAACAATATAAATTGGTGCGATTCACGAGTGTATAGTGAGACAAGTTCATAGAATAGTTTGGAACATCGGTAAAATTATCAATATTTTGCTGGTCTATATATATTTACGTTTTTAGAACGAATGTTAATTAGAGAAATATGATATCTTAGTTTATTGACGTTTATGAAATATGATATCTTCCAGATATTATACATATGCGCATAGGCGTAGTGTATTATTGGGAATATATTTATTAAATATACTTTATTATTAACTTTAAAATAGTTTTGAGGTAAGTAAAGTAAATTTGAGGCCAGTTTATTCTTTATATAGTACTAAACCCTTAACGGCCGCTCAATATACAAAGAGAAATTTGACAATTAATTTATTAGATTGGATTAAAAACACAAATTAGGAATAAATTACAACCAAAAAGATTTTTTTTCTCATTTTTAAGGAAAACAGTACAGTTTTTAATAAAGGAAAATATTGTATCTTAAACGTAAATTAAATTTTAAGGTAAAAATTTTCGAAATATTCGGGGTATAGATGCATTCTACACTTTTTACATAAATAAATAATAGTATTACTTTTGTAGATCCTACATTTTTGCACTATCGTCTCTTTTTATAATGTGGCCAATATTGTCGAATCTGGTTTCATCTGGTAAAGCAAATTTAGATTGACGCCCATTTACTGACACTGATGTAGCGGTTTCTTCACTATTATAAATTAAAATTATAAATCTATGTCGGCTCATGCTTTCTCTTATAATATGCACTTCTTTATCCTCATCCTTTGACCAATGCATATCAACTTGAAGCAGAGTGTAAACCAGATAATATACATATGCTAATAATTTTTTTAAATCTATGTTATTCATTTCAAAATTGTGACGGTTATTCTCAATTACTTTTTTATCAAAAAGAGTGAAAAAACTTCAATATATGACTTGCCACATGGTTGGCTTTTATATTGTCTAAATATCAATCATGATACTGACAGATGTTGATGATGTTGAATTACTACTGAGCACGAAAGAATATCCGTTATTACAACTTGAGATAAATTTGGATTTACTATTTTTGCCTGGTTTTTTCTTTGGACGTTTTATCTGTGGTTCAGAGAAATATCATAATCAGAATCGTTAGAATTCCCAATCACTTGTATTTCATATGTACCTGCAATATCCGATTTTATTGATTCTTCACAAATAATATTATCATCAATCTCTTCAAGGAATACAATAATATACCAGCAAACGAATGGGAAAGATACCTGACGGAACTGTTTAAAGCAAAGGAAAATAATAATCAACACAATAACGTACCTGAACTAAGAGTCGATATAGAAATCAGTTTTCACGAAGTAGAAATAGTCATAAATTCACTCAAAAATAGAAAGTCACCAGGACCAGATGGAATAACCAACGAGCTTCTAAAATACGGATGAGGAAGTTTAACCCTAGAGATGACAAAACTTATACAAAAACTAATATTGCACTGCAAGATATCAGACGCATGGAGAAACAGCATAATGATATCAATGGTCAAGAAAGGAGATAAAGAAGACCCCAACAATTATAGAGGTATAAATCTACTGCTACTTAAGCTTACCACAAAAGTCCTAAATAACAAAATCAATAAACTAACAACTTTATCACATGAACAACAAGGATTCAGATCCGGATGATCCTGCGTAGACGCCGTATTTGTACTAAGACAAATCACAGAAAAGGCCATCATATCTATGTTTTATAGACCTGACAAAGGCTTTCGATTGCATCCAAGTCGAAAATGTCTTTCACCTACTGTATAAAAGGAACATACCAATCAATATTATACAAACCATCGAAATCATCTACCTCCATAATCGAATACAGGCAAAGATAAATGGAAAACTAACACAGTGTATACCAGTACAAAGCGGAGTCAGACAGGGTGACTCGTTAAGCCCACTTCTCTTTAATATATTAATGGACGAAATAATACAAGCAGTACGTAAAAGTTATGGCTACAGAATTGGGAACAAAGAAATCCAAATATTATGTTATTCAGACGACGCCGAATTAATCGCCGAGACAGAAGACGAGCTCTAAAGATTAACACATATCTTCAATACAACAGCTAAGAAATACAATATGATAATATCAGCGGAAAAATACAAATGTATGACATTTAAATACCCACTATGGTGTAAAATCGAAATTGATGGGAAAATAATAAAGCCGGCAAGGGTTAGATATCTGGGAATAGATATAACTAGTTACGGAGATGTTGAAGAAGAAGTACGACAGCAAAGCTTAAAAGCAAGTAAAGCGGCGGGTTCTCTTAATGACACAATCTGGAAGAACAAACACCTAAGACAAGACACAAAAACAAGAGTCTATAAAGCAGGAATTAGACCTATATTAACATACACGGCTGAGACAAGACCTGACACATCTAAAACGAGACGACTGCTAGAAACAACAGAGATGAAAATACTCCGACGAATATCAAGGAGAAG